TTCAGATTACATTAAAGTACTTAATTTAAACTATTAAATAAGAGTGGATGCTTTGATATTAAAGACTATCTTTCATCCAATGCTTTTTATTTTGCAGTACAATATAGTCCATACTACAAAACAATATTCTCTTTATATTTTATTAAAAGGGTTTTTCTAACGGATATGTTTTTGTTATAAATGTATATAAAAATATAAAAATTGATATTAACTTTAGTATTGATGCCAAGTAAATGAATTTAATTAAATAGTTAGTAAATTAAATATCAATTTTTACATTTTCAATATAAATTATAGTAAAAAGATATATTTATTACATTCTAAAAATACAAGTTAAAAAAATCATTGCTTAAAAGATTACACACATGATAGTTTATGACATGGTTGGTTTCGTTGTAATGCTTTCAATGTCATGCTGTTAAGGTTTTATATTGTGTTTTAAATTTTGGAATGTTCTAACCCTATGCTCTTATTATACATGTTAAAAGTACATTTATTATATTTTTTTGTTATTAGTTTATATAAAAAATAAAAATTAATTTTAATTTTATTAACTATCTAATTTAAAATATTTCACGTAACATTAGTGTTAAAAATAAAGTTTATTTTTATAATTTTTTTATATAAATTAATAATAAAAAATATAATAAATACACCCTTAAAGTAAATAAACTCTTAAATTTTTTAGCATTTAGTTTTAAAATGTAACTCGTGATGGTTTAAAGTTTAGTTTCAAATATTTTAAATTATTATGCAGAGACTGGCAAAGTTATTGGCCACACCCATGTTTACAAATGCCACACATTATTTATTTATTTGTCTATTTACCCCAAATTAACTGTTTATTTTCTTTCTTGATTTTTGATGAAAAAAATCAAAAATCAAATTGAGAAGAAAAAAACGGGGGAAAGTCTGCATCTTAGCCCTGACTGTCTCCTCTTTCTTTTGTCGTTCCTCCATTCTCCTTTTAAACTTGCTTCTCATTGTTTGGCCTGCGTTAGAAAAATAGTATTGGAATAAAATAGCAAAGGAAACCAAAGGAGTTATGAGGCGTGACATCACTATTCTTAAGACATTAAAATATCCGTAAGATACAACATAAGTTAGAAAATCTTTCAATCTTACTAATGTGAAAGAATGACTAATTGATGCCCATTTGCAAATGACTAAGGCCAATCTTTTATAGTGAATGAACAGGCATTCTCATCGGACGCAAATTGTCTAAGAAACATATAACAAATTCAAACCAATAGACACCTTTTGATACTTATTTCAAAAGGCACCTTTTTAATGCTTTGATCATCTTTGAGATCAAGACGCTTGGCCAATTAATGCCTTTGATCCTTTATGATCTTGTCTCTTGCAATCTCATCCATTCGGACATGTCTCTTTAGTTTCTTTTGTCTATCTTTTAGCTTGCAATTTTTTGGAATTAACCCGTTAATATTTTAAGTATTTCTAAACTATCCAACAATCTTCCACTAGTTTAAAAGTATATTAATAATTTCATTCCTTTCATGCGATAAATAATATCCATAAAAAATATATCTTTTGATTTGAACCTTCCATAGTATATGTATCTTTAGATCTAACAAAATTGTTGGCGTTTGAGGATTAAACCACAATTCTTTATATTATTATTCTAGAAATACAACACACATAATACTTCTTGTTATGCATCAAGAGGTTTATAACCCTTTTAGCACAGTTATGGACATGTGCTTATCATGGTAATAATGGTCATTTACAAAAGAATCTAACGTCTTCTTGTTGAAGCAACACTACTCTAATAACTACTCAGATGAAGTTTTTTATGTGTCACTTTTACTATAGGCATTTAGTAATTGACAACTCCATTAAAAACTCCATTTAGAGTATACATTCATCCTCCAAACACAATAAATCGCACTTATCTAATTTAATATTTAGGAAGAAGGCTTCAAGTTCTAAATAGGAATGTGAAGTAATTTGCTATTACTCATTACACTTTAATTTTAGAGATTACTAAACTAAAGTTGGATTTCCATTACTAATGCCAAATACATTTAAATTTATTTTGATCCTTCAATTTTTTAAATTTATTTTTCAGTCTTAAATTTTATTTAAAATTTAATTTAAAGTTCAATATTTAGGGTTTATGGTTTAATTTTTATAGAATTTAAGGTTTTGCATTTTAATGTTGAGTTTTTTTAACTTGTGCCTTTAGAGTATATATTAGGAGTGCAATTAATACACATTTTTAACATTAATTGATATTGAAAAAATGTTAACTTTTATTTGATCAATAATCTAATTAAAATAATTTAAATGATATTATTGGTGAAATCAATGTTAATATTTGTATTTTACAATATTAATTAATGTTAAAAAGGTACATTAATTTTATTTTTAATCTATATTCTAAGAGTATAAGTTAGAAAAACCCTATAAAGTTTATGGTTTAGGGTTTATATTTTTAGAGTTTAAGATTTAGTATTTAAGTTTTAAGATTTATATTATCAAAATTTAAGGCTTAGTATCTAAGTTTTAGGATTTATATTATTAGAGTCTAAGGTTTAGTATTTATGGTTAAAGTTTTGGGATTTATATTATTAGACTTTAGGGTTTAATTGGGTTCGTACTTTAGGTTTTATGATTTAATATTTAGAGTAAAGCATTTATTAGTTAGATTTTTAAAAAAATAAAGAGGAAAAACATCTAAAAATTATGTCCATTCATTAAACTCTCACAAAAAAAAAAAAAAAAAAAACTAAGGTAACTTATTTTTAAATAAAAAATAAGATTATTTTAATTTTTTGGCAATACTTTAATAAAAAAAATATTTTTGTAATATTTTTCCTCCTATATTTTTAAAAGTGTGGTTAATAAACACTAAGATCTAATATTTTAGATTAGAGTTGAAAAGTTTAAAGTTTTAGAATTTAATGATTTCTAAATTAAATTATTTTTTAAATCAAAAACAAAATTAAACGTCATAGAACTTAAAATTGAAAATTTCTAAGCCCCAAATATAAAAGTGAAAGAGCCATACAAACTATAGTTCTTTCATTTCCACATTGAAGTTTCTAGTTTTTGTGTTTTCTTCTCTTCACATTGCCCATTCGCCCTTCATTTCTTCTTATGAATTAATGGTTGGACCCCTAGCCTTTTCCTTTCTCAACACATTTCCTCTCAACCTTACTGACTTCTATCGGTTAACTTACTCACAGTCTTCTTCCCTTTTTTATTTTATTATTTTACTATTTTTATTTACAGATTATATCATTTTGGTAAAACTTTTTGCATATTTCGTGATTTGCATTTTCTATGATCGATCTCACTAACAAAAAAAAAGTACAAAAGTTGCAGGCTGACAGATATAATAAATTTTTAATTTCAATATATTTTCTCCACATTCATTTTGTTTCTCTCGAATGAAAAGCTCATTTTTTAATACTTTTTCTTACTTTTTTTTATTACCTAATCAACAATTATATTCTTTTATTCAGATTATTCTCTCCCTCTTCCAAAAGATTAGTATTAACTTTGTCTCTAACTTTGTCTCTTTTTGGTTTCTACTTCACATGTATAATGAAAATCTTTGAAGCAGTTTGAAAGTAAACCCCAGCAATTTGTGAGGAAGCTCTTTAGTCATTAAAGTTATTTAGAGAAAGCACTAGCCATTTAAACTAGGTACATGTTTTATTCTCTCAATTTAACCGTTTGGAAATGCCAATTCCAACCTAACATCCTAACTTTCTAACATTCCAAACTTAAAGAACATGCACCTTACTAACTACAAGCTAAACGGCATATAAATATAAGTGATAGAGGTTATATATATACCAACTAGAGTTTAGCCAAATAATTGGTTGAAATCTCTGTAATGGCTAATTAAGCATATTGTTTTCCTAGTCACATACTACAAAAGAAAGAGATACAATAGTTATTTTTGATTTGATAGAATGACTAGGATATGTCTGATTTGATACAATGACTTTTTTATTTTGTTGTATGATACATTTTTAAGTGTTTTTTGGGTTTCAAATGCATGGTTTATATATATCACTACACATACATAGTAGTATTTTGATCACCTCAGCTTTAATTATGTAAATGATTTGATGCAGTTAGTAATTATGGAGAACTTTGTAGGACCAATCTTGGAAGTTGTGAAATTTGTTGGTG